GGGTGCTGCCCTGGGGGAAGGGGACCTTGGAGACCCCCCGGTTGTCATGTTATGGGTCAGGACTGGGGACACCGAGCACCCAGCAGCTGCAAACATCCCCTAAGGGCAGCGGGATGTGGGTCAGGTTTGCACAGGATGGCAGCGGGGGGGCTTCCAGCTTTGCCTTTTAATTGGGAGTAAATTAAATTAACGTAGGCAGTGCCGTGCTGGTGGCTCCTGGTTCGGAGGTTGAAGTTGTTGGAAGATGGTGGGAAAATGAGACGAAATCGGGTCCGGTGCTGCAAAGGACACCCCGAAATGCTGGTGGGCTTCAGGGGATGCAGCTGGGGGGGCAGAGGGAGGCAGGGAGGGGTTGCTGGCCCAGGCAGCTGCTGGTGTTTGCTCATTAGCAGAGTCTCTGCTGGGAGCCCTCCTCTCTGTCCTTTCTCTTTGCCAGCAGGAGCTGGGGGACACCGGAGCAATCCAGGGGCTTGGCTGGGGGCAGAGGGGAGGACATCAGGGACGAGGTGGCGGGTGCAGGCGGACGGCTTCTGAAATAGCACCTGGGCTGCTGAGGGCGATCCATCATTTTGACAAAAAAAAAGAAAATTCAGTGTTTGTTCTTGTGCGGTGGTTTGGCTCCGTCCGTCCTCTCCCTGGTTATCTGCTGATGCTGGGATTCCCGGGATGGGGCTGGTGGCTGGCTCTGGTGGCAGCTTTGTCCCCTCCCTGGACAGTGCTCAGCCCTGGGGAGGGGGCTGGCTGGGGGTGAGCCGGTTTTGAGGAGCCCCAGGAGAGGATGTGGGGGCTCTGTGCAGCTCGGCAGATGATTCTGCTTTGGAGCAGGCTGAATAATTAATAATTATTCTTTGAATAATTGGCAAGAAAAAAAATATTGCAAATTCACAGCATGAATTATGCACCAAAGATTGTTTGACCAGGTCCCACTGGTTAAAACCGGTGTGCGTTAACCCCTTCTGTGCTGGAGGAAGACCTCCAAACTGTGCAGAGGGATGGGGATGAAGGGGAGGAGATGCTGGGGGTGACCCCAATGCCACCCCCCTTCCCCATAGCATCTCCCCAGTTGGAGGGCATCTCCCCATCCCTCGGTACCATCCTCACCCCTTCTCCCTCTTGCATTCCGGGCAGGAATGGACCCCGCCACCAACTCCAAAAGCAACCACTGCCTGGACGCAGCCAAAGCCTGCAACCTGAACGACAACTGCAAGCGCCTGCGCTCGGGCTACATCTCCACCTGCAGCAAGGAGATCTCGGCCAGCGAGCACTGCAACCGGCGGAAATGCCACAAGGCTCTGCGGCAGTTCTTCGACCGTGTCCCCAGCGAGTACACCTACCGCCTGCTCTTCTGCTCCTGCAAGGACCACGCTTGCGCCGAGCGCCGCCGGCAAACCATCGTCCCCTCCTGCTCCTACGAGGATAAGGAGAAACCCAACTGCCTGGATCTGCGCAACACCTGACGGATGGATCACCTCTGCCGGTAAGGGCTGTGCTTGGGGGGGAGTTTCCAGCCCTTCCTGGGGCTGTCACCGAGGTTTTGCATGGGACCGTGGCTGGGTTTGCAGCGTGCTCTTGTTGCATGATCCTATTTTGACTTTTTTGGTTGCATCTTCCCAATGCTGTGCCCGCTGGCTCTCCTCCAGTGGCAGCGTATTTTTTGCATGAATTTGCAGAGAATTAGTGGTTTTTGGCTGCTCGTGGAGAGGCTGAGGGGTGGTGTTGAGTTTAGCCCCCCCCCTTTGCTGTGGGGTGAACCTGGGGGCTTGCAAACATGGGGGCTTCCAGCTGAGCCCCCCGCCGAGCTCTGATCCGCTCTGACACCCCCAGTGCAAAACCCCAGCTCTGCCCTGTGCTTGGTTTGGGGGGGCAGAGATGTGGGGCAGAGCCAGAGCAGTGGGGCTGGGGAGGACTTTCTGCTGTGAACGTGGAGCTGAGCCCCTGGGGACGGTGCTGGTTCTGTTCCCCCCCGGGGACGGCTCCGTGTCCCTGAGCTGGGGAGGAGATGAATGTGCAAAAGGGCACCCACGCCCTGCAAGCAGCAAAATCCCCCGGTGGGCTTTCAGCATCTCCAGAGAAACTTCACGGCTGGGGGAATTCGCTGTTTTCCCCGTGGTGGAGCAAAGTCAGGAGATCAGGCTTTTGTTCCATTATGAAACTCATTATTCACGCGGCAAAAAACCTCCCGTCACCCTCCGGGGGCTGGATCAGCCTCGTAAAGATTCGGTTTCCGAGGAGGAGGAGGAGGAGGGTCTCTTTGCCATCAAGGTGATGGAGTTTCCCAGAGCCTGTTGGCGAAATAAATAAATAAAAACACAGCTTCAGGTCTTCCTCCGTCTGCGAGCGAGGGTTTCGAAATGTGGGAATGTGGCTTTTTATCAAAAAGTAATACAAGAAGCCAATGCCTATGAATAAAAGATACCGGGGCTGCGCTGAGTCGTGGCCAAATGAATGGGAGCACCTCTCCGGCAGCGGGCCTGATGCTCGCACAGACATGAAATGTGGATGCATCCGCTCGCGGAGGGGAATAACCTGCGTTGGCAGCGTGATGGGGGGGGACCGGAGAGGCCCCGGAGCTGCCGAGCGTTAATTATCAGCCTGTTCCTGCATGAAATGAAATTCTGCCAGAAAGAGGTGAAGCAGCAAAAGGGGGAAGCGTGTGGCAGCTGCTCTGGCTCTTTGCTCCCAGTTGGAAATGCATTTTTCTGGCTGCGGCGTGGATGCTGCCTGGCTGGGCGGCCCCAGCTGGGGGCTCTCACTCTGCAAAGCACCCAAATCCAGCATCTTTTTATGCATTCAGCTTTTGCAGAGTTTTGCCTGTTCTCTCCCCGGGATGGGGCATTGCAGGGCTGTACGTGGATGCAATCCTCAGATCTGGGCTTGCAGGAGAAGGTCCCATCCCATCCGCTCTCCTCCTGCAGCTCTGCCTGGACAGGGGGGTTTGCCCCAAGCCCTCTGTTCAAAGCGGTTTCATTACCCAGGCTGTGGCACTGGGGTGCAGGAGGGGCTAAGAGCCGGCAGCCTGTGTCTGGGGATGCTCGGAGATGCTGCAGATCTCCAGCAGCTCACTTGACCTCGTTGTGTTTGCAGCCGCAGAAGGGTTTCAGAGCCGTGACCTGCCTGGGGCGAGCTGTGCCCAGCACCTGAGCTGAGGGGGGAAAAAAATAAGGATTTTTTTTTTTTTCTTGTTGTATTGCAAGTGAGAGAGGCTCTGCCTGTGTTCTCCCTGGATTTTGGGATGGAGATGGCTCTGGCAGAGGGGCTGTGTGTGCACTGTGCTTTCCTGGGAGCGAGCACTTGCTCAGGCTGCAGATTATGGTCTTTGCTGCTGGTCCTCCCCCTCCATCTCCATTTCCTTCCAGCACATCGTCCCCAGGGCTGATGCACACATGGGCATCACATCCCCTGGTCCATGGGGAAAGGATGCAGAGGAGAGCAGGGCGAGAAAAAACATCGATAACTGTTGTGCACAGGGCTGCACCCTATGTAGGGGTCTGCAGGCTCGGGGGCATGGCTCCAGGACCCCTGGGGGTGCTGCTGGTCCGGCTCCAGGACCCCT